ATTAGCTTTGAGATACTAGAACGTGTTAGGTAATAAGCGGTGGAATGTTTAATCATAAATTTATTAAAATGCCGCAGTAAATAGTGTTTGTTTCGCCGAGAACACTCTTGTCTCGAATTGATGAGTGTCTTTCTCGGAAAAAGGATAATTGTTTTGAGGACTGAAAAGTTAGGCAACTTTGTTAGTCACGGTGAAATTGTATTGGTGTCACAATGGCATTTTGGAGCCAACAGTACATAACATTTTTTGGCTAGAGAGAGTCACAACACAAGATTGCCTTTACATCATTTTGTGGCTCCATAGGATCCAAAATTAAAACAGTTCGTCAAAAGTCAGACATGACTGTGGCTATACATGAATTTTGTATGTGTATTTTGTACCACTTGGTTGAAATCATATGTTAGAGAATTAATTGATTGGCATATTGTAATTTTAAAATCTTCTTGGTTTTAACGGTTAAAAAATTCTGCTGTGATTTCTGTTTTAACAATTATTTGTATATTGCTCAGAACCTGGAAATTAGGCTCAAAAGTATTATATATCTTTTGGTGTAGATCGTAAAACATTGAATAATTAATTTCAGTTTTTTGTTTCAGAAATTGTTCTCGGAATTTGTGTTGTTTTTGTATTGCTACTGGGCAGGCCTAGATTTCCTCACATACAAACAGATTTATAGTAACCCCTTTTTATGGAATAATGGGGCCTATTAAATATTTAGACGTATTTTTAGATAAAAGACTAACCTGGAACCACACATTTTCGAAAAATAAATAGTTACATACGGAAATATAGTTAAAATTTACTCATTTATAAATAGAAAATCTTCCTGTTAAAATTGAATATGAGATGTTATTATTCAAATTTATTATTTTACCATCCTTTAACTCACTCATCGCCCAATTTGGCTCAATACTGCAGATACACAATAAGAAAATTACAAGTTAAGCGCAAAATAAATGCCCTTAACGGCAGTACTCGAACCTTTTAGTTTTACCAATTCCAAATTATAGAGAATTACAGGTAGGTTAAGATTACAAATCATATATTGAAAATGTCACAAAACTTTACTCTCACTGAAGTTTTCTCCCGTCACTCAAAAATTAGTTTAGGCCGACATGTTGTTTAATCCTTACAGAATAAAATCCAAATTTCTAAATGTAAATTGCGTTCACCGCTAGTATTAGTATTATTAATATTGATTTCCAGAAAAAAAATTTAATTAAAACAATATATTTCAAATTAAAACAAAACTATTTTAAACTATCAATTACTAATTTGTGTTTATGAGTTTACATTTAGCAAAACCTGTAGTAACTGTTAATTAAATTGTATCAAGCTCTTCAAAGGTCTTCTGCCGAACAATAATAAAATAAATTAAATAAATAAAAAATAAAGAAAGAAAGAAAGAAAGAAAGAAAGAAAAAGAAAAGAAAAAAAAAGAAAAAGAAAGAAAAGAAAGAAAAAGAAAGAAAAAGAAAGAAAAGAAGAAAAAGAAAGAAAGAAAGAAAGAAAGAAAGAAAGAAAGAAGAAAGAAAGAAAGAAAGAAAGAAAGAAAAGAAAGAAAGAAAAGAAAGAAAGAAGAAAGAAAGAAAGAAAGAAGAAAGAAGAAAGAAAGAAAGAAGAAAGAAGAAAGGAAAAGAAAGAAAGAAGAAAAAAGAAAGAAAAGAAGAAAGAAAAAAGAAAGAAAGAAAGAAGAACGAAAGAAAGAAGAAAGCAAGAAAGAAAGAAAGAAAGAAAGAAAGAAAGAAAAAGAAAAGAAAGAAAGAAAAGAAAGAAAGAAAGAAAGAAAGAAAGAAAAGAAGAAAGAACAGAAAGAAAGAAAGAAAGAACGAAAGAAAGAAAGAAAGAAAGGAAAGAAAGAAAGAAAAGAAAGAAAGAAAGAAAGAAAGAAAGAAAGAAAGAAAGAAAGAAAGAAAAGAAAAGAAAGAAAGAAAGAAAGAAAGAAAGAAAGAAAGAAAGAAAGAAAGAAAGAAAAGAAAGAAAGAAAGAAGAAAAGAAAGAAAGAAAGCAAGAAAGAAAGAAGAAAGAAAGGAAAGAAGAAGAAGAAAGAAAGAAAGAAAGAACCGAAAAGAAAGAAAGAAAGAAAGAAAGAAAGAAAGAAAGAAAGAAAAGAAAAGAAAGAAATATATAAAATTACTGAAATGTGAATGATTTAGTGTTATCTAAATAACAATAGATCGCTACTTCCGGAGACACCCCTGATGCAAATTGAGCTGGTTTGTGGTGTAGTGGTGTTTGTTTTTTTTCAAGAGAGAAATGTTGTGTGAAATCAGATTTTCATATTAAACTTCAGGTCTCTTGCAATGGGATTGCGTGGTAGAATTACAAATTCTTTAATTTATTTTTTGATTGATCCCTTTTGGAGCTGATCCTAAAATAGATAGAAATTCTGTATAAAATCAGTTACAGCACTCTTGCCGGAAAAGGATAATTGTTTTGAGGGCTGAAAAGTTAGGCACTTTGTTAGTCACGGTGAATTGTATTGGTGTCACAATGCATTTTGGAGCCACAGTACATAACATTTTTTGGCTAGACAGAGTCAGTCACTAGGGATTGCTTTACATCATTTTGTGGCTCACATAGGATCCAAAATTAAACAGTTCGTCAAAGTCAGACATGACTGTGTGCTATACATGAATTTTGTATGTGTATTTTGTGACCTCTTGGTTGTGAAATATATATTAGAGAATTGAATTGATTGGCATATTGTAATTTTATAATTGGATAAATCTTCTTGTTTGTAACTGTTAAAAATCTGCATGTGATTTCTGTTTAAAATTATTTGTATATTGCTCAGAAACTGGAAATAGGCTCAAAAGTATTATATATCTTTTGTGTAGATCGTAAACATTGAATTAATTAATTTCAGTTTTTGGTCAGAATTTGTTCTCGGAATTGGTGTATTTTGTATTGCTGCTGGGGCAAAGGCCAATGATTCCCCCACATACAAAGATTTATAGTAACCACTTTTTATGGAATAATGGGCTTATTAAATATTTAGACGTACTTTTAGATAAAAGACTAACCTGGAAACCACACATTTTCGAACAATAAATAGTACATATGGAAATATAGTTAAAATTTACTCATTTATAAATAGAAATTCTTCCGTTAAAGTTGAATATGAGATATTATTCAAATTTATTATTTTACCATCTTTAACTCATGCCCAATTTGGCTCAATACTGCAGATACAACAATAAGAAAATTACAAGTTACGCAAAATAAATGCCTTAGGCAGGTACTCGAATCCTTTTAGTTTGTACCAAATTCCCAAATTGATTGAGAATTACAGGAAGATTAGATTACAAATCATGTATTGAAAATGTCTCAAAAATTTTTCTCTTCACTGAACTTTTCTCCCTCAACTCAAAAATTTAGTTTAGGCCGAAATGTTCAGAATAAAATCCAAATTTCTAAAATATAAATTGCGTTCACCCTAGTTATTAGTATTATTAATATTGATTTCCAGAAAAAATATTTAATTAAAATCAATATATTTCAAATTAAACAACTATTTTAAACTATCAATTATTAATTAGTGTTTATGAGTTTACATTTAGCAAAAACCTGTAGTAACTATTAATTAAATTGTACTCAAGCTCTTCAAAGGCCTTCTGGCCGAACAATAAATAAATAAAGAAAGAAAGAAAAAAATATAAAATTACTGAAATGTGAATGATTTAGTGTTAATTATATAAAATTAGATCACTACTTTCGAATTTCCTGATGCAAATTGAGACTGGTTTGATGTGTAGTGTGTGCTGTTTTTTTTAGAGAGAATAAGTTGTGTGGTAAATCAGATTATTCATATTAAACTTTCAGGTCTCTGCAATGGGCATTGCTGTGTAGAATTACAAATTCTTTAATTATTTTGCATTGATCCTTTTTGAAGCTGATCCTAAATAGATAGAAATTTTGTATAAAACTCAGTACAGCACTCTTGCACTACTACTTCATAGTATAGTTTGGCTATGATAATTTGAATTTTTTATATTTAATAAAATATTTGTTATTGTTTTATATTTCTTGGTGCCTAGTCAGCCTCAAATTGCTTCATTGGCCATATCAGGAGACCTTCATTGCCGAAATGGCAAACTTAACATATTGGCAATAAATGTGAGGGTACCAAAACCTTGGTTACCACCAGAGAAGGATATTAATAATTCAATATTTTGGAAGCTTAGCATACTGAGGACTGGACAATATATTCATGTCATAGTTTTGTTAGCTTGAAATTCTTGAACGCCAACAGACAAAGCTTATATAAAATGATAGTACGCTGTTTTATCCTTGCGTCATCCAGGATTGACGTTAGTGTTTGTAAGTTTATTTTTTGCGTGACCATTAGGTAAACGATAAATATCTATGTCTAAAACACAGAAACTTGTATGTTTTCTTGGAGTATCTTTTTGTGCCGTATAATTACTGGCGATAAAAGTATCGCTTGATAATGATATTGATTGATAAAAAAGTACCATTCCTGTTTAAACTACAGAATGTTTTATTGAGTTCAACACCGAATTGATGTATTGGTTTTGGAAAATATCCTGACGTTTTCGGACTAATATTGTTCAGAGTGTTCAGAGTTCAAAGTATTTCTGTTTACGCTGATTAGTTTTTTTCTCCTTCTTCCCGCCTTGCATTTGTTTTGGTTTGGCGGTTTCTTCCTCTGCTGCTAATATCATCAATTTCTCTTCGGAAGGATAAATTTTATTATCAATTCCTCTCCATCGCTACTGAATTAAGTGGCACTCCTTCTTGTACCGCTCCCCGCCGAGCCCCGCCATGTCCCGCCACGTCCCGCCACGCCACGCCACGCCACACCACGCCACGCCACGCCACACCACGCCATGCCCCGCCGCACTACGTTGAGCCATTTCTAATTTTAAAATAACTAAATAGAATGAAATACAAGTAGTAGTAAGTTAATTGCATAAAATAACTAGTAGAGCAACAGAATGACACACTCTTTCTCGTATTATGACTTTAAGAATACTATAGAAGAATAAAACCTGGGCTTATTTACAAATTTTAGATGAAAAAGTATATGTTTTTCAGAAAATGTTGAGGGTTTCTGAAAATGCTCAATTTTGAGCACATTTTCACAGAAAGGTTTTCTGGAACTTTTATCAAACAATATTAGTAGCTATAATTGCAATAAAGCAAGAAGACCGCCGATAATAAGTAATTCTGAAAATATTGAAAATAACAATTACCGACACAAACAAAAACCAAAATACCCTACGTTGATACTGAGCTTTTATACCCATGTCGCAGTGAAATTTTTCGCATTAGATGCATTTTAGCCTCCATTTTAATACGGCCAGAAATTTGAAAGTGAGCGCTGCGCTCATCCCTCGACCTAAATTGCGTTAGTATCTAATCTGCAAATCATAGATACACTTTTAAATTCTGCCCGTTCAAGCAGCGCGTTTCAAGAGAGCAACGCCAACCTCTGCCGGTCATGGTCTCTGCAAGCGCCAACGACTCATGTGCCCACGTTGAAATAGTACCCCAGCCATCGCTTCGCGCGCTCCTGGACGTGTAGTGTGGACTCCTAGAGCCTCGTACGGTGTCTCTTGAAACGCACTAGACTACGCGAACTCTACTCCACTCTCCTGCTACACCGCTGCCAAACGGCGCTTCGACTTCAAAATGACTGCCGCCTGAATTACATAACTATGACTAAATGTCTGTAATTATATACATCATGTTCATGATTATTATTCCTTCGTTATTATTTATGAACCTTCCAGAGCGCTCTGGACATAAGGGAAATCATTATAATCATAATCACCCCGTTAACATACGATTTCAACCCCTAACAAAAAATTAACTTTTGTGTAATACCTATGCAACAATATATTTGATTTGATACAAAATGAGTGTCAACATTTTGACCGTTTACAAATATTATTAATTACTAAAATAGAATCATAACTAGCCTAAATTTTCCTATAGATTTTCCAATTGTATGGTGTTTTCTCAATATAGTCAGATACGAAAATAAGTGAAAGGTATGTTGGAATCATGCAAAAAATGGTATATTGAAAATCAATCGATGGGTAAATTGCTTTACAACAGTCGTCTATTTGTTTATCGTCAAAAAACAGAAAAATGTGACCTAAGCAAAGAAGCATTATCTTTCCAATATAAAATTAGAGTTACTGCAACAACACATACTTTCTTTTATTATCAGAAATATTTACGTAATATTGAAATATGGTAATTTGTGCTATACTAAAAACTCAGTTATTAAATTAAAAAGTCCAATTCAAAAGATGCGTCTTTGCAAGGATCAGTAATCATATCTAACTCTTCAAATGAAACAAACATTAATACATTTAACTATTACAGTATTTACAGCATAAACAGAAAAGAAAGAATAATATTTCACTCAAGCTTGTCTTGATAACATCAAAGAGAGCTATCAATTTCTGAATACAATATTCGGCAATCAAAATTTCTTAACCCATTAATTGTCATGATCCCCAATTGGGTAACTCAGGCCTTTTTCTTTGTTGCGTGATATTGTGTACTTTAACTCGCGAAGTTTATTTCTTCAATAGTCGATAACAACCTAAACGAAACATATAAGAAAGTTAGATGCCAGATGCTGATTTAGCTATAATCGCTGAGATATTGTACACTCCTGACATAGGTGTACGCATTACCTGCGTATGTTCTAATCTTCATCTAATACCGTGCTTACTTGCTATATGTCTTTGTTGATGGGAGAGGTTGGTGTAATGCAACCGCTTGACGGAGCATATGCAGCTATGTTCAAACGGTTTTGTTACTTTTTATTTAAAAAAAAGCCCATATAACCAACGGTTGACAATTTGGAGCGTTCTAGTAGTATAATTTAGCAACCCAAGAATTAATTAGCACTCAAAGTTCCAAAAACATGCTGCCAGAGAGCTCCAAAAATGACCAAATTAGTATATAGTTAAAGAGAAATACGTTTGTAAAGAGAATTGGAGATTGAGAATGTGAAGTAAAATAGCTATTTTACTTTGTCTGTTGCCTTTATTTACATTGGATAAGTTGTGATTGTGCAATTTCATCTTGTGTCAATCAGAACGCCGAGGTAACGAATAGATGAATTTAGTGGACGACGAATGACAGACGAGGAGAAAGTTTAGACTGAAGCGAGAGGGCGCCGGGAGAGAACAGGTGCGGCGCGACGTGGTGCGCGAGTTGGGAGGCCCAGAGATCGATCGCTTCTGTGAGGTGGCGTTCTGACAGGTTCGCGCTCACTCAGTTCGCTCACCCACTGGTCGCCGTTCACGCCGTCCGTCGCACACTCGCGTCTGCGCTCGTTTACTCCCTCACGAATGCATTTCTTTGATTGATTGATTACTATTGATTCTGGGCGCGTCAACCGCTAAGGTCATTAGCACCGTAAGTGTAGTGCGTAAGTGGTTTTTGCTCGGGACCTGTATGGCATCTTGCCCCGATGGATGGCGAGATCCGGCGCCGTCCTACCACCAGTTAGAGGGATTTTCCCACACCAAGTATCTCCCACCATCACGGCACCGCCTCAGTCAGAACAAGCTCTAATCTCCCCACCGTCTCCTGCCATATGTAATAGTGTAGTGCTTGAAAGTGTAAATGTGTGAAAGGGGTAAGATAGGACAATGATTGGGATGGAAAGATCGCACGCGATCCGTGACCCGTTTGATACAGTACTGCTCCGACATTCGCCTGGTGTTGATCGGGGAAACCATGAAAAACTACCGATCAGAGCAGCTTACTGCTAAAATTCTCCTCCAGACCGCGACAGATCTCAACCTAGCTATCTCGCCAGCGTCGAAAATCGTGCCACCGCTGGGACTAGAACCCCAATACCTACCGGTTAGAGGTACTGCCGTGACAGCAGTTAATGGTTTGAACCACCTCTCCCAGTGCGAATTTTGTGATTAGCTTCTTTGCTAACTCGCTCACTGGGTGACTACAAGCTGAGATGGCTCAGTGGGATCATTTCATTTACTTGTACAACGTGGCTGATCGAGAGGTTGTAGGGTACAAGTTCCGACTATCACGGATTTTCGACAATGTCGTCATATAGAGGTCGAATTCAGTTACTGCCTAGGGAGAATTCTGACGGCCGGATGCATTGATCGGAAGTTTTCTATGGTTGCTTCGATCACTACCGGGAGAATGCCGGAGCTACGGACCGCCCGCGATCTTTCTTTCCTCATCCTTGACCCCTCTTCTCCCCTTTGGTATACATATACTTTTACATGCCCCACATTAACTGCAGCTGGCAGTAGGGAGTTGAGAGATTGTCCACGCTGGGGAGATACCTGGAGAGGAAGAGACGGGCAGTGCGGCGCCGGATCCTACGATCCAGTGGAAGAGGAACATTGTCATAATCCGGCTCTCACATGCACTACACTCACGGGCCAAAGCAGTAGAGACGTCTGGGTACCTACATTCTAACTCGCTAAACCACACTTTCTCTTATCCGCTCATTTCCTCACTCGATGGTCCGTAGCGTCTTCTCTCGTCTGCTCGGTTTTTTCACTCGCGTCTTTCCTTAGCGAAATGTTCCTGGGATCGGTCATAGTATTAAAAGTATTTCTGGTCTAATAGTGAATAAGGCTTAAGAACCCAAGTTCAGATATGAGAAAAGTTCTTTATATTAGTTAGCTTATAAATAATTGATCTCGCAGTTAGATTTGGAAATACTACGATTTGTCTATATTCACACATTTGAAATGTATACTGAAAATTTTATAATATTTTCGTGTTGCATTGGATGCCAAAGAAGAAATGCCTTCCAGTAAACACTAGCGAGGGATGTTGTACATTTCAGTTTAAGAAGCTTACTCCTTCATCCCTTTACATTTTAACATATTGGTTTCTAGAGGTTCTCGCCAACCAGTCTTTAAAGAGGAACATTTATCGCAAATTATTACTTGTGGACGCGTCTTAAAGGTTTGAAGTACCTTACATATACTAAATGTCGTTGACATTTATAGAAGAAATAAAACGTGCATGACATTGAAACAGTTTGTCAGCAGTATCAGAGTACTCATTTCTGCAGATTATGAGAAAAAAGAACTCACTAGACAGTACCTCATTGGTGCAACACGTTTTCGTCTTGTTTCTATCAAAGCAGTCTCGTCAGCGAAATGAATCTTCCGTTAATGAAGGCGACGGGTGATTTGTGATATTGTGCTATGCTGATGAGGCCTTTTCAAGCCACCTCGCTTTAGGAGCTGCGTTTGGCAGGTCCTCGAAAGTTCGGCAACTTGCATGAAGGGTGCGTTGTCTCCCTGCTGTCCTTTCGTGGCGTCACTATCGTAGTGGAAACAAAAACTTTGGATTATGCATTGCAATGACTAATATTCACATAGCGTATAAAGAGTAAAATATAACCAACTGCTAATAAAATACAAAAGAAACGTTATTTAATTTTGTAATAAGAGTTTTCGTGTCTCGACAAAATAATCGTGTAACTCGATTTTTCATGTCTTCCATTTACGAGTTGCATTTTTTAAAATGCATCATTTCCTACTTTGAACAATAAAATTGAGTGAAAAACAGGATCTGCCAAATACAATTCTAGCAGTTGTTTTAATCAATAAAGTAGGTTTATAATACGATTAATTAGTATTGGTCTTGTTCTTGGGTGAATCCTCTGTAAAAATTACAAAAATCTCCAAATATTCGTATTTTTTCTGTTTCTTTCTCAAAGTACTCTAAAACTAAGTGAGCATTTTCATGGAAATTTATAATATTGCTAAACGTGTAAATATATTCTGCGTCAATTAAGTACCAATGCCTTGCAATTTGCCAAAGTTGCCTTGATGCTACGTGCAAAAAACGTGCAAAACCGCCAATGTTTTACATTTTTTTAAAAATCTCA